ATTAGCTTAAGTGTAGGTCTTTTAAGAGTGTGTCTACTGATGTACTTCATGTAAAAACTAGTTTGAAATAGGTTTCCAAACCCCATTATTTTCCCTTCACTTAAAGATTCTCAGTGGAAAACATGACACAACCCAGCCTACCTGAGGCCACATAAAGCACATAGACGTTTTGATCTGAAAGCAGTCGTTCAGATAATTTGAGGAAAAGTGAGATTTACAGACCTCAGGTGACTTGTCCCAAATCCCCAGCTTAAGGCAGAGAATCAGCCCCGTAATGAAGCTCTCCAATCCCATCTTCTGCCATTGCACTAGGCACCACCTCCACATTTAAAACCCCAGCCTAAGAAAGAGGCCCCAGTGAAGGAAAAAACTTTGATGACATGATGAGTAAGGATGGAGTTTTAAATTATCATGTGACTTGCAGCCACAATGTCTCGTGGACACTCTTGTTTCCTCCCAATGATTTGTCTGATAACCTAAGCGTGAGGCCCCCTGGGAATGTGTGATGGGAGGGGGTAGCAGAACACAGCCTCAGGGCTAATCTGACTCAATTAGATTGAAAAGAAACCTTTTCCCCTGTGGCTATGGCAGACAGCCCCCTCACCCCCAATCTTCCGGCCACAAATAAGGATAGTAAAGCTTAGACAGCAACTAGGAGCCATCTGAGGCTGATGAAAGGAACCAGTAAGGCTGAAGCTGAAATTGAACGTGGAAGGAAATAGAGTCCAGAGAACCAGAATTGACCAGGTACACATCCAACTTCTGGCTGAGTTTGAGCAGGGATCTAGTTACTTGGAGCCAAAAGCATCCTAATATTTCATAAAACCACTGGTGGGCCACAGGAACCAGTTACATTGTTTTCCTAAATGTAGAAAGAATAGCCAAGTATTTAAATGACTGCTGATTCTGCATAGAGCTCCAAAATATTATAGTAACCTTTCATCATCCTTCAGGATTCCACTCAACTCTGATCGTGAAGCCTTCCCTTATATCACAATGTCTATATTACACCCGTCAATATTTAGTGTCTCTGTGGCCCCTTTCCAATAAGACCATGGGCATGTAAAAGCATTAATTAAAAGCTAATTATAAGATAGCATTTACCTGTACATGCCTTCCCCCTGACTAGATAGAGGCTCCCCAACAAGAAACAAGTTAGGAACTGCAATGTCTGTTCCAGCATCTGGTATGATTCTACAGAAACAAGGTAATACTTGCTATGTGATATACGAGTCCCTGGTTAAATAGCTGGCAGAAAGTGCAGCCAGTTTTTTCTTCAAAACTGGGGAGTACAGAAAGTTGAAATAGATGCTTTCATGCTTTCACTTAAAATGGGATGGAGTTTTATTTAAGGTACAGTGACTTAACCTCCAATGCAGCAATAAACACATTATTCCTGTCCTAAGTGGAGAAAGGGATGAGGGATATACTTTACTTTAATATACTGTATACATAAGAAATCGTATAACTTTTAACATGTTAACTTAAATTGCAAAGAACATACATGGCTGTTGAGATAATTTTTGGTACTTTTTTACTTGTAGTTAACCCACCTTTGGCATATCTCTTTTGAATCTGGATATGTAATACATTTTCATGGAGGGGAATGATCTTTGTGATCCAAAAGACACGATGACTTATATTTTAGATTAGGAAGCACAAAAGCTGAAACATAATTTTTGCAAAGTGGGAACTTGCATATAGTTACTCTGCTGTGATTATATTTTTTGAAAGAAGAAGGACTGTAACCTGGTCCTCTACCTTTTAGTGATTTTAAATTACATGAGTTTGCTTTAAGCCAACACCCCACTACCTGGTCGTCCTTAGAATGGACCAAAATCAGCAATAGAGCCTACTGTTACTCTCCTCAACAGATCTGTCTTCAGGGAAGGGAGGCCAGAGGATGTAGATGGTAGGTTAGGTCACAATACTTTTCTTTCTTTCCCTGTTGCCACCAGTCAGGAGGTGACATCTCACATCGCCTGAGCATTTTCTACCTGCTGGCTCTGCTCCTGGCACTTTTAGGCATCACCTCACAGTACCCTCAAAACCCTGGTTGGTCAGTAGGTTGGTTCTATGATTGCCACTCAAAAGCCAAGAAAGAGAGCTGAGCCCAGAGACATTAAGATCACTCAGCAGGTAAAGGGCAGAGCAAGGATCCCAGGCAAGCTCTCTACCTCCAGGACATGTGGTCATCACACACAGCCTCAGGCCAATGGCCACACAATGACTGATCATAAGATCCGGACAGTCACTGCAAAGGTGAGACAGGAAATGTGGATCACTTCACTTTTCCTAGGGAGCAATAATTCTGATAAGAGGACAAACCATATTGGTGACTCGGCTAGAAAAGTGAAATACATCTCTCTACATATTCAAAAATACATATGTGAACTCACACCACATATATGACTACATGGTCTTTTTTTTTTTTTTTGAGACAGAGCCTCAAGCTATCCCCCTGGGTAGAGTGCCATGGCATGAGGCTCACAGCAACCTCCAACTCCTGGGCTCAAGCGAGTCTCCTGCCTCAGCCTCCCAAGTAGCTGGGACTACAGGCACCTGCCACAACGCCCGACCATTTTTTTGGTTGCAGCCATCATTGTTGTTTGGCGGGCCCAGGCTGGGGATTCGAACCCGCCACCTTAGGTGTATGTGGCTGGCGCCTTAGCCGCTTGAGCCACAGGCGCCGAGCCACTACATGGTCTTTAAATCAGAATTGTAGTACTACCATTTCATTTCGAGACTGCCCTCCATGGGACTGAGTTCCTACAGGTAGGGGTTATACCTTTTACAATTTTGTATTTCCACTATGATGCACAAAGTGAGTGGACATAAATCTTTCATGAACATTAGCTAGTGAACTCATAGAACACCAAATATCAATATGCAATCCCACTTTGCAGCTCCACCTCGTCTGCTAATACGACTCATGGACTTCTGCATAGTGCTAGACACAAGACTTAGTTTAAAACCATGAAGAATATCCTAAATGAATTGCTAGTTATACATGAAATCATCTACCAATACTGATCGCTGGACATGTCAAGTGTAATCTAGACACAAAGCAGCTCTGAATATCCAGGAGGCTATATTCTTTTCTAGAAGTGGTAAAAGATTATATAAAACTATTGTTTTGTCATCAGGCTTATTTGAATTTACTTTCAAGGTTGTTTTTCTCAAATTATACTCCAGCCCTATAAAAGAAGTGAGTCCGACTTATGGCTTAATTTTTAGTTTCCAATTGCAGTTCTTTATTCTAATAGGAATATCTTATCCTATACTCATTCAGTGGCATTTAGAATCCCTATCCCCCCAAAAAGCCAGTAGTAATAATTTTCCTCTATGTGTGATTAACAGATGAGAAAACAGCTGCCTTAGTAGGGAGACCACACCATTACTTCTGTAAAGATTACATGTCTGAAGAAATGATTATTAAGTGTAAATAAAGTTACTATGAAAACATTTCCAAAACCTGTTCATTATCAGCTTTATTTTAAAATATACAAGTATTTTGAAATGTAAAGTTTAAGGTTGTAGGATTTTTTTAAACTCCACACAAAACTGACAGAACAAAGAAATCCATACCAAATTCATCACTTACAGACTGCCAATTCCCGCCACTAATTTCACAGTACAGTACTCAGGATACTTTAAAGGATTTAATATTATCAACACCTTTTAAAAGTCATTTGTAACATGCTGCTATAGTTAGAACCACCACTTCATGGATTACTAGTAGAAAGATTTCAACACCAAACTCAGAACTTCCTTAAAATAAAAAAAGTCTAAATTAATTAAGACAGTGAGTTGACACAAACATTCTACATCTGAGACAAATACTCTTCTTGTGAATTTTAACACTCAGCCCAACATAACCATGTTTTAGAGGGTCGATCCTTGGCACCTTGACTTGAGGCAGGCTTTCCAGGTTTGGATTAGGCTGACTGGAAAGAAGGCTCCTGGCAGGAGAACGAAACAGACTCAACACTGGGAGAACTTGTACAATCCCAGGGACAAAGAGGAGACTTATTTGTTGTATACATTAGAACAAAGGAATTTTTAAAAATATTTTAAAAGTTATGTTGCAAAACATGTGCGTCAAATCATGGTGTAGTTGAAACGACTCTATAACAAGGCCTTGTCTGACCAATTCATAGAAAGGAGAAACTGGAGAACCCGGAAAAGCCTTTGCTGAGTGCCTTTCCAGCATATTATGCCTGCATTTTGTTCAGGGTCACAACTATATTTGTAGGGGCTTTAGAAATACTGATGACTTTTTTTAAAAGTCGAACTACTACTTATTTATAATGAACAGTTTCAGTTAAAGTATTTGACCAGGTAAAAGCTCCTGAGCACCACAACCAGCTTTCAGGTTTTGTATCTCAAGTGTTCCTGAGAAAACAGTGAGAAAATGAGTGGCTTTGTAACTTTTTAAAAGCTCTTTTTAGAGGTCATTCTGATTTTTCTAGACAAAATACACAGGCAATACTGTAGTTAAAGGAAAAAACTGAGACTGATTCCCACTCAAGCTTAGCAGGAAGAAAACTGAAAACGATCTGCTCTAAACCGCAACGTTCAATGCAACACAAAGTGAATGGTGCGTGATGGCCTTCACTAAGTGAAGGGTCAAGTGTGATTCCCACTTGAACTTCCCATTACATCGTGAGTACAATTCAGTGCAATTCAGTTTGAGGAAAATAGTTTAATATATCTCTCACCAAAAAAAAAATAGTTTATATTTTTCCATCTCAAGCAAAACAGTGGTTATGAGGTCCAACGCCACCAAGCGACTTTCATTCTGTCCCATACTGCTGAAAATGAATCCAAGGCGGGACGGACATCCAGTATGGTGAACTGGTAGTCCTTGTCCACTTCACCACCATCATAGTAATCGATCACATACCTAACTTCTGTCCCACAACGGTTGATGATCCAATCATGCCTATCAAAAGGCAACTCATACCTAGAATGAAAACATGCTAGGGAGTGTTAAAATGCTCCTTGTGAGTTTGGTCCTGGTTTAAGCAGTGAGAAAGATCCAGAAGAAGTGCATGCAAATGCCTGCTCTCAAAGATTTCATTGTGGGGTTGGGGTGAGACTCAGAACCATTATTTATAGTGCTAAGGGGATATGGTGCTAAGGAACTGCAACCAGTTCAGATCAGATGACAGCTCACCTGTCTACAGAAGAATGAGGTCAATGGGGAAGAGACCCAGGCCAGGGATGTCAGCCAAGATACTGCAGAAATGCAGGTGTGCGCTAAGAATCTGAACTACTCTGGAAAGGAAGGGGAGGAACACTCCCCTAAGTACACAGACCCAAAGAGCTTGATTGATCATGGGAGGAGTAAAAGGACAGGCCCAGGAGTACAGAAAACAACTCAATTCAATTCTATAGTAATTAAATAAAAAACAAGCCACTACACTGTAATAAATCTCCCCATCAATGGGCTATTTTAGGGGAGAGGACAAAATCTACAATTCAATATTGATAAAATTTGGGAGATGTTTTTTGGTGCCAAGAGAAAGTTGATCCTGACCTGACCAACGTGAACTGACACTCTACACTGACACTCACCCCATCCAGGAACGAATTCTTGCCCTTGGTGAATACTGGTTTGCTTTTCCTCCGAACCGGACCAATGATGGACCGCAAGGACACTCCCTAGAAATTCCCAAATAAATGTTAAAATACTGTCTTTCCTTTGAGAAAAATGACATGCCAATTAAGCCCTGGAGTTCTAGCCTTGTGGAGCTTGCAGTCCACCCACGTGCTATACAGATGGCCATTTCCCGATGGAAAGGGTGGCAGTCGAGACCAAGGCCACCTATCTTGTCAATTGCTCCCATTGGTAAGACAGGCTTTTGGTCTTGATCTGTCCTTTTAAGTGAGGGAGAGAAAAAATTCCCATGTGTAACAAATCCCAACTGGAGGAATTAAGAGTTAGTTTACTTCTCTGTTCCCACATGCTCTGCTTTCAAGGGACTGTGATACTCTTCCCTCTGAGAGGTGGGGGCATCTCTGCCCACTCCCCTTTAATCTGGGCAGACTCCTGACACTACAAGACTTCCTAGGCTAGGCCAGAAAAGGAGATAACAGCTTCCACCTGGTGCTCTTTGGAACTCCAGCTCTTGGCACCCAGCCACCATGATGTGAGCAAGCCAAGGCAGCTATCTTCAGAGGCTGGGCAGGTCTTCTGGCCAACAGCTGGCACCACCAATCAGATGAGCAAACAGTGGAGCCTTCAGAGGACTCTGGTCCATGGCTCTGAAGCCATCTTGACCGCTGAGTCTCTGCAGCCAAGGTCCCAGACATCAAGGAACAGATGAACCATCCCTGCTCTGTCCTTTCTACCCTGAACCCACCAAATCCATAAGCCTCATGAAATGGGGGCTATTTTTCACACAACTAAGATGGGGTCGTCTGTCATGCATCACTAGTCACTGTGACATGCCTGCTGCATAAAATGTTTTATTAGAATAACTATTTGAATAAAATGTTAAAACTCTAAAAGGCTGACAAGAAAGACACTGAAATTTTTTTTAAGCTCCCAAATATACTTACGCAGCATGAAGGGCTTCCCACTTCAATATCTCCTTCCAAGCCTGTTCATTATTCTGATTATGGATTCTAATGATATTATACATATCTTTCTGGCTAATATCCTCTTCTTTCCACCTCCACCTAGAAAAGGACATTTAGTAAAACTAGACAAGTATTACTAACAATTCCATAAAGTTAATCCACATGTTCATGACATTAAACATTATTTACCCTTTATGAACGAACTAAGAATGCTCCTTTTCTCTGAATATAATAGATTTAAGACTCCTTTCCAAGATTTATTCATGATTGTGGAATAGCACTATAAAAAAATCCAAAGTTACCAGATAAGCACCAGAAACAAAGATTAAAGTTTCATCTTAATCTGATTTTACTAAGTCACAAAATACCAGACTTACAGAAGAACCGTCTATTTTTAAGGTGACACTTATTCAGTTAATACCATTAATGAATGATTCCCCAACTTTTACTAAGTATTTTATATAAGAGTGGCTTTTTTCTAAGTTTATTACTGGCTGTGATGGCTAATTTTATGTTTCAATTTGACTAGGCCTCAAGATGCCCAGATACTTTGTCAAACATTATTCTGGGTGTGTCTATGAGGGTATTTCTGAATGAAATGAACATTTCCATCCGTAGATGGAATAAAGCAGATTTCCCTCCCTGCTCCATGTGAGTGGGTTACATCCAATCACTTGCAGACCTGAATGAAACAAAAGCTGGCCCTTCCATAAGTAAGAGGGAACTCCTTGCACATGACTGCTTGACTGGGACATTGGTCTTTTCCTGCCTTTGGACCTGAACTGAGACAGTGGCTCTTCTTGGGTCTCAAGCCTGCTGGATTTCAGACTGGAACTTAGACCATCAGCTCTCCTGATTCTCAGGCCTTCAGACTTGGTCTAGAACTATACCATCAGCTCCCCTGTGTCTGCAGCTTGCTGGGTGTAGATCTTGAAGCTTGTCAGCCTCCATAATTGTGTGAGTCAATTTCTCATAACAAACCTCTTCTAGCCCTCCCTGCCATATGCACATACATTCTGTTGGTTCTGTTTCTCTGGAGAACCCTGACAAAAACACTGGCTTTGCACTTATATTTTGATAGGTCTGAAAAATCAGTTATTATAAAGTGATTAACTCATAAAAGCTTACTGTATGTGGGGGGGTTTAAAAACCTCTTTAACATTCTTAGATAAATTTGACAAGCAAATTTATGTCATGCTCACTCACCCCTTCTTTAACATTGCATTCCAGAACATCTGCTCGGAAGGATAAACCCATTTTTTCTCTGAGCCTGCTCTTGGAATAGATGACTCCTCTCTGACAGTAGACAGTGCAAACGGCTGATCTGGTGCAGGAGTTTGATTAGGTGGTGGCATCTAAATAAAATAAGCAGATTTGCTTTTTAAATACTAGAACTGTAAGGTCAGGATGAGCAACACAACTAACTACTTTCTGGGAAGCAATGCACCACACACAAAGTACGGGTTACTTATGAAACCACTGACATCAAAATTTTAGACCCCTCAGATAATTTGGCCATTGTTTTGTTTGTTATTGATGCAAACTAGATGTAGGTAGTTTTGGAGTGCATGTGATAATTTAACACATTCAAGTAACTCATAAACAGCAAATCAGTGTACTTGGGAAAAATAGGGAACGCTTCCCAATCTGCATGCCATCTTTGTACAGGGGCCAGGTTAATCTTCTCTGTATTGTTCTACTTTTAAAATATATGCAGCCAAAGTGAGTACAATATGGCTGAAGGGTGAGAATACTGAAGTTGTTTCTCCTCATTCATTAAGTTCTCATAAACAGTAAATAAAGGCTGTGGTTTAATTTTGGGTTGCCTCCTCCACCTAACTAGTTATATGTAATATCACCAAGGAATAAGAAGTAAAAACTAATACTATGATCTACAAGCATTTTCTCAAACCCTTACTGTGACAAGCTTTTCGAAAATGACTGAGGAAAAGTCTCATGGAATACAAGTACAATGGCACTTTCTTTTTAAACATTCTGTCTTTTAGGTTTCATTCTCTGGGCTGAATACACTCACAATGAGTATTTGCACCTCACTGTGGCCAGACCCTTGGCCCAGACATATGGGCTTTAAATGCCCAGCCCAGGCCAGGGTTTCTCCTCCTTGGCACCACTGACACTGAGGCGAGACAATTTTAGTTACAGGGTCTGTTCTAAGCAATGTAGGATGTTTAGCAGGATGTTTGCCTAGAGGGACAAAATCATCTCAGGTTAGGAATCACTGGCCTAGAACTTTTTGTGTTGAAGGCATGAAGGATTTCTTAGCAGATACACCTTAGTTAAGTCTCAGTCACAAGGCCCCCTGTTAGGATCCGAGCAGCAGGAAGGGCCATGTGGAAGGTAAGTACTGCGTACCCTACCAGCACACCCATGCTGTGGCTCAGAACACAGCTCTAAGTGGATGAGGATTCAGTTCTGGCTCTGTCACTTCCTGGCTGTGATGTGGGGCAAACTGCTCACTCCCTCATGTTCAGTACCTTTAGCTCTAACTTGGGGACACTTAACAATACTGGCCGCATAGAGTTGTTATGAGGATTAAAGTAAAAAATGCAGGGTGCTTAGCTTCTAAATGCTAGTCAAAGAAAAGTCAGCTGTGATTAATATTTTCACTATACATAATATTCCCATGGGGTCTAGGTCTATGAGATTTCTAAGGGCCCAAGTTCTGAACCACTAGGTTATTAGACATCATCTATACCAACAGTCTCCAGGGTGCTCTGGCAATATTGCCCATCACTGAGAAAGCAGCAGAGTGGAGTAGTGTGACAGAGATCATAGGCTCACAAAACTAGAAGTATTTACTATGCAGCCCTTCTAGAAGCAGTGTTCTGAAGACTTCTGGTCCAAATAGGTGAAGCCAGTGTGGAAGATCTTGGTGCAGTGCCCAAAACTTTATTTTCAAAAACAGGCAGTGAGCTAGTTTGCCCATTCCTGAGGTAGGCACTGCTATTGTATCCCCCACGCTCTTTTCCAGGGTAAATATTTCTGGTTCCTTCAAATGTTGTCTGGTTCACTGAAATTTCTACTCTAGATAATCCTGTGGCCCTCTAAAGTACAAGCCTGAGTCTGTCTGTCTCTGTGTTAAACTGTGATTACGAACATGAGACCACAACCCCCAACGTTGTCTATCACAAAATAGAGTGAAGCCACATCTACCCTGGCCTCATTTCCTGACAGCATTAAATTTACTGGCTGCCATGGGATGCCAAATCACCCCAGGGACTAAAGTGCAGATTGGCACCCACTTGTGCCTAAAGAAGAACCTCAATCTTGTAATTTGCCTACAAGGCTTCCCCAAATGAAAAGTCACCTTTACTAACCCTAGCTACAGTTGTCATGGAATATCCCATCTACCATCTAGTAACTCTCTCAAAAGAAAACATTTGTTTGCTATAGCTTATTGCTAGTAAACTTATTCTGGCTCTTCGTAATCACTATCATCTTTCCCACGTATTCTCTGAAACTTTACTTAGTAACACATTCTAGATTTTCACTATCCATGGAATTTAAAGCTTCTTTGTTTTCAAAGGGGAAAAGAATCTATCCTAGCAGTCTGCAGTTTGTCTTGAGAGTCTGCACAAGCATCTCTGCACAGAAAGCTCCAGAAAAAAGGGATGAGCATGATTACCAGATTTGATGGATCAAGGTTCTCCTTATTGTCAAATGCAGCACCCTTAACAGGGCATTCCACATACTCATAAGCACGTTCCTGGTGGGCAGGCACAGAGTATGTTTTGCTTTCACGGGTTGAGTTAGATGGTTCCACATTCACTGGGCATCCTGAAACAATCAAGTATAAAAATGGTGTCATCACAAAGACAGGACATCTAGCTCTCTCAATTGAGACCTTCAAAAGCTGAATTTCTTCTGACCACTCATTACCATATAGGAAAAGCCAAGTTTCTTCTGTTTAAATCTGAGACTTAAGCTAGCTAACATTCCAAAGTCCTGAGATAAGGAGAAAGTTCTGTGAATTTAGAACTTTGAAAGAGAAACAGGTACTCATTCTCTAACTGTGTCATGCCCCCCAACAAAAGTAAACCAAAGAAATTTTAGCAGTTATATGAGCACGTATTGTCCACCTCATGGCTTTAGCAAGCTAGAAGGTGCCTGGTTGGATTAGCAGCTGGGCGTTCTTAGAGGAACCTAAGTGGGGAACAGGCCACATTTCATGGGGTGTCCTTGACTTTCTATTCACTAGTTCCAGACAAGCCCAGCCAGAGTCAGGACACAGATACAGTCTAGCCTTTCATTACTGATGCATTCTCTCAGTTACTAGGGACAGGAGAAGAAAGTGAGCAGAAGAAACTTCACAAAAGCTTTTGGAGACAATCTGAATGCCACTCTGCTTATGCTTTGTCCCAAGACTAAAACAAGCCACAGATAACTACCATTTAGCAGGGCACAGTGGTCTACACCTGTAGTCCCAGCTACTGGGCAGGCCAAGGTGGGAAGATCCCTGGGACCAAAAGTCTGAGGTTGCCGTGAGCTACAGTCACATCTGAAAAAAGCCACTGCACTCCAGCCTGGTCAACATAGCAAGACCTCATCTTTTTTTTAAAAGGAAGATATCAACCACTCAGCCTGAGTGCTCTTTCCCATCAGCAGACAGCAAGAGGTTCACAAGAAAAGGAAGACATTAAAGAAAATGTCCCACAACCCATGCAGGATCCAGATGCCTCTTATCAGGGGAGGTCTGAGCCTAATGAGATGCACAATAGGAAGGGCACAGCCAATGCCCAAGGATCCAGGGTGCTGATCCCAGCAAGTGTGGAGGCTGACAAGCAGCCCGGGAAGATAACTGTCTAATGGAATCCTCATTTCAGGCAGTAGCAGCAACTCCAGGAGTACACGGGAGGTGCCCTATGTGAAGAAAACGAGCTTCATTTCACCTCCTTCCCTATACCTCTCCTCCCAAGCCCTCACTTCCCAGTACTCCATGCAGCTGCTCACTTTCTGGGTGAAGGGAAATTTGCTATACTTCCCTTTCTATCATTCAAAGCACCAATCCTTTCCAGGTCACTGATCTCAGGTGGAGGTTAGAAAGAAAAATACTGTATAGATTTTACACATGATATAACCAGTAGCCCTTTTCATCTCTTACAATTATTCACATTTTTTACTAATGTAATAAATCTGACTGACAGCTCTTTAAAAGAGACAGCAAACGAATAAAATCAGGGAAAAGGGCTCTACGATCTCCCTGGGGATGCTTAAAACAGGACCACACCTGCTTTGTCTGATCTGTCGCAATTTGTCCCGTACAAAGAAACTCCGGAAGAGCACTGGGAGCACTGGGTCTGTCCTTGTGCAAGGTCACATAATTTTGCTGGCTTTGCCACTTACTACTTATGTGACTTGGAGCATATCAGTTACTCTGAGCCTTTGTTTCCTTTACTATAAAACAGGGAGAAAACCTACTACACGGGATTACAAAGTCAGGAATGTCAGCTCCATCATGTAAAGAATTTTTGTCTATTTTGTACACTGCTATACTCTCCATCAGAAACAAATTCCAGCAGTGCTTGGCACAGAATGGGCAGTGACCTCTTAGAGTGGGCTGGCTGATCGAGGAAATGAATGACTACAATGCAAGACTTAGCACTCAGTAAGCACACCACATTGCTTCTGTCCCATACTGCTCACCGATTCAAGCCATACTTTAATATGAACACACACCAATTAAAAATGAAAGACAGCTTTTCCATTTTCACCTTTTGTACTTAAAGAATGGACCACAAATCCTTTAAGCAATGGCTTATTTTTACATAGAAAAATACTACAATGAATGTGGAAGCAAATTTTATTAAGACAGCCAGATCTAGATCAAGGTTTCTCAACAGTGGCCCTCTCAACACATTTGTGATGAGATGATTCTTTGTTGGGAGGCTGTTTGGTGCACTTTATTTAGCAGCATCAGGCCTCTACCCACAAGATGCCAGGAGCTCCCTTTTCTCTCAGTTGTGACAACCAGAAATGTCTCCAGACATTGGCAGAAGTCCCCCTCCAGTTGAGAACTGCTGATGCAGGCACAAGTAAACTTTGGGAAGTTAAGGTTCCTTTATAATCACTATGTTCTCATGCATTATCGCAACTAATCATGGTAACAGCACTGTGAAACATTATTATATCCTTACCTTACAAATGATCCACTGATACTCAGAGAGGACCAGAAAGGCATCCTCAGGATGCTTCACTCCCATGCACAGGAACTCCACTAACACAGTATAAAACCTTTTGGGAATTATCTCCTATTTCTATTTCCTAAACAAAAGATCGATTACCTTTCATTTTTCCTTCATGCATTGGGCATCCTGAAGGTGAGGGTGCTGTCTGATGAACTGAAGCAGTGGCGGTCTGAACTGCACCGGCAGGAGTAGATACAGACAAACCCATGGTTGGAATCACAGTATTGACTCCAAACAATTCTAAATTTCCACCTGCCGAAGAAAAGAGATCAACGCTGATGCCTGGACTCCAACTATTCCCGTTATTCTTAATGTGGCCAGCCCTCATTCCTTCCCCTTGTCATCCCATAGAAACCTACTCGGCAGGACAGCCACTTTGAGGGTCAGCTTTAATATGTTGTCCCCTTTGAGAAATACTGTGAAATCTACACCAACCTCTGGGGGGCACGTTTCTAAGGGAGTAGGGATTTGGGGGTCGAGGTGAGGTGGTCTGAGACACCACGTCACAGCCACGGGGTCCCTGGGCAAAGGATCCTAGGCGTGGTGATCGGGGAGGGGAAGCTCCCTGACCCCAGACTTGACCCCTGTCCTGGGGCCTTAACACGGACTAGGGGCTGGCGAAAAGCCTCAACAAGGAAATGGGGACTCGGGGAAAAGAGGGACAGCAGAAGTCAAGATGCTGCCAGAGTCTTCCCCACTCCTTCCCCACGAATTTCACCTGCTCCAGCCTGCGGACCCCAGACCAAACTGCCCCGCCCTTCCGCACCTGATTACTCCCGCACGCTGCTCCGGGCTACCAGCCCCGCGCCCCTAACGCCAAAACGAACCCAGAGCGGCAGCGACTTCCAATCGCCGCCGCCTTCCTCTGGCTGGGTCACCGCTGTGCCACGGTCACCGCCAACAATCGCATGCGCCACTACTTCCTTTTCCAAAGGCGGGACTTCCGACCACGACGTAGAGTGGCGTGGAGTGAAGACGACGGTTCCCGTCAATCACAGAGAGCGAGTCCCGCCCCTTCCGCGCCGCGGCCCTCCGGCCCCGCCCCTCCGGGCCCGGCCCCATTTTCAAAAGTGAGGTGGTAGGGAAGTTGTCTGGTGGAAGGGCTCCCGGAAAGTTTTAAGCGACAGGGGGGAGACTTTGGAGGAGTTTTTAAATTTCTGGATTTTTTAGTGTTTATCCTATCGGTTTTAATTGTAGCAGTGATTCAAGAAGCATTAACAGGTGTCTAGAACTGTGGCTGAAGTATCCAGAACTCTGGAGATTCCAAAATGAGTAAGACAGGGTTTGGGCTGCCCAGGCCTTTTTAACCGGGTTCACGGACTTGAATATCTGTGTTTTCATTTACCTCCAACAAAATTTGAGCATTTCGGCTCGGCAACTGTGGCTCAAGCGGCTAAGGCGCCAGCCACATACACCTAAGGTGGCGGGTTCGAATCCCCAGGCCGGACCCACCAAACAACAATGACGGCTGCAACCAAAAAATGGCCAGGTGTTGTGGCGGGCGCCTGTGGTCCCAGCTACTTGGGAGGCTGAGGCAGGAGACTCGCTTGAGCCCAGGAGTTGGAGGTTGCTGTGAGCGTGATGCCATGGCACTCTACCCAGGGGGATAGCTTGAGGCTCTGTCTCAAAAAAAAAAACAAAAAACAAACAAAATTTGAGCATTTCCTGATGGAATGTAGGCAACAAATCCCAGTAGTGTTAGCTATATGTGGTTAATAATAGAAATCATTAATAGAAAACATAAATTACGTTGCATATGACTTTGTCTGTCTCAAAATACTAAATACTCAAATTAAGATAATTTGATCTTTTTTCCTTAAGGTGTTAATAAAAAATGTATGTCTTTATATACCAGTGAAGTATGCCCAGGTCCTTTCTCAGGCCTCAGAAGGTCCATTCCCTTTGCTGCTGGGATTGTGTGGCTCGCAGCTTTCAGGAGAGTCTCCCGGAATTGCGCTTTGCCTGACAGAATTGCCTCACATTCCCTCTTTGGCGAGGGACAGTCTGCATTTTATGAGTGTTCTCTCCGTGGGCACTTTAGAGTCAGGGGAGCAATTCCAAAGGCCAATCCATTTTCGGAGCTTCCCATGGGATCAGCGGAGGATTCCATTGAGACTTTACTCACTATATCATGGTTCATCTTCTCCCTTTGCCCACAAGCATTTTGTCTCCTCCACAATTCTCTGTCACCTACAACTCTCAGTTTTGTTCCCCAATTCTCTGTCTCTCTCTCAATTCCTCTATTCCACCACAATTTCATCTCATTCCAAAGATTTTCTGTTCCTTCTCACTATTCTCTGTCTTGGACAATTCATTCTTTTGTCCCACAAATCACTGTCTTGCCACAATTTTCTAGTCTCTCCCACAGTTGTGATCCCCCAATTTCCTGTGTCCCACAATTCTCAGTTCTTTCATACATATTCCCATCTCTCACAAGTCTCTCTCTCTCACAATTCCCTAGTATTCCCAAATTTCTCAGTTCCTTCCAACAATTTTCTATGCCTCTCACAATTCACTTTTCTGTCTCATAATTCTCTGTCATTCCCACAGTTCTCTTGTTCTTCACACAATTCCCTGTCTCCCGTAACTCCCTATTACCTACAGCTGTTTCACCCCACAATTCCCTATTCACTCACACAATTCCTGCTTATGTCTCACGATCCCCTATCTCTCCCAGTCCCCTGTTTTTCCCCACAATTCTTTGTCTGTCCCACAATTTACCCTTTTAAAACCATTTACCATGATGCTTTACTTCAAATATAGTCCTTTGTATTCTGAGAATTTTCTTCATTATCTCGCATAATTCTCTATTATTCTCACAATAACATTTTTCTCTCAAAACTCTGTTCTGTATCACAAACCTCATTTCCTTCTCATGATTGCCACTTCTTCCCACTATTCCCTTTATTTTTCACAATTCTCTATCTTCTCTCACAATTCTAAGACCTTCCCATAATTCATGTGGCCTTCACCTTGTCCATTTTCTACCAGAATGCCATGCCTTTCCCATAACAGTCTAGTTACTTTTGTATAGATGAGCACTCACTGAAGCAGTCAGTAAGGAGGTTCTAAAAGGATAACAGAATCAATGATACTTGAATAACATCACTCCTTCATCAGTATTTATGGAGGATCTGTGACGTGCCAGGCCCTGCAATAAGTGCTGAGAATACAAAAGTGCTAGACAAAGTCTCTGCTCATAGGAGATTTATGTTCTAGTAAATGAATAGAACAATGAACAAACAATCAAATACATAAATAAATACTTTCAGAGCATGAGAAATACCACCAATAAATGGAACTGGCAATGTGACGGAGATTGCAGGGCAGAGAGCCTTCCCAAAGTATGATACAAGGAGCAGCGGGTTTGTATTCTTGAGAGCTTGTCAGAAATGCAGAATTTCAGGCCCCACCCTGAAGCACTGAGTCCAAGTCTGTCTTGTAACATGATCCCCAGACGATCAGTGTGTACAGTATAGAGCAAGAGCTCAGGATACTGTCTCTAATATGCTTGTCAGAAAATACCTCTCTAAGAAGGTGACATTTTAGCTGAGACCTAAATGATGAGAAGGGCCCAGCCATGTAAATGTTAAGGTAAAGGGTGGTACAGACAATGAGAACTGTGCAGGAAAATGTTCTGAGGTCAGAACGAACAGAGGAAGACCAGTGTGGCCCACATGGGGTGAGTCAAGGGCAGAATGGTAGTTTGGGGCTGGAGCCCAGCATAGGCCATGGAGAGGAGGTTACAATTTACTCTGATTGAAATGTGAAGCCATAGAAGGTTTTTTTTTTTTTTTAAGACTGATAATAAGTGGTTTTTCTTGACTTTACTCTCTAATTATGTCTAGAGACCTTCACTGGCTCCCTGCCAGCACTGCCCATGAACTTCACAGGCTTTGCTAAGGCCTGAACGAATGAAGGTGACTTTCTAAAACACAGCCAGGGTACCCCCTTACAGCTCAGTGTTCTGTGGACTCTTCCAGGATTCACTACATCTGTACTCAGAGGGATCGTGCTGTAACAGGAGCTAGGGTTACCTCTTACTCTTGAAAATAAATGCCACTTTTTTAAAAAGGGATTTGTTGCCAGTAAAATTACAGATAGAAACAGGTTGGGATTGTGTTTAATATTCTCACAACCATTGTAATAATATCTGAGAGTGTATTATTACTAATTGGTAAGTCCCAACGCTTTTTTTTTTTTATGAGAGTCCAGGATCTCTTAACATAAACCTCTAAAAAAATTGAATTAATTAATTCAGTGATCATGAATGACTTATTGTGGATCATTCCCAATTCCTTATTCAAATCCTAGTTCCGTATATCCAGATGTACACAGAGCATTGCTCTTTGAGAAAGTTTCTGTAATTTATAGCTGAACATATCTAAGACTGGACTGTTTTTGACACCTGCCGAGGAGGTCTGAGTGGGCACTGATGACCCTGCAATGAGGCCAATTCAGAAAACTGAAGGCTCTGCTCTGCTAGATGCCAACAGGGAAATGCCCAGCATCTTCCTCTGTTGTGACATCCAGCGTGTATAATGTCTGATATGAGACAAGGCCCTGCTATCCTCCATGACAATATTTCATAGCTAGGGCTGATTTTGTTGCCCCTGTGCTGAGAGCATATTTGGCAATGTCCAGAGACATTTTTGATTGCCATACTGGGGGGTAAGGGTTTCCACTGGCATCAAGTGGAGAGAGTCCAAAGTCTGTACTAAACATCATATAATGCAAAGAAGAACTGTAGCAACAAAGAATTATCTGGCTCCAAATGTCAATAATGGCAAGGTGGAGAGACTATTCTGGGAAGATCAAAGGCCATAAATTCCTCTCCTTTACACCTGGCAGCTAGAGAACGGGCTCCTACTTTCACAGTCTGTCTTCTGTGTGTGTGTTTCTGTGTATACTAGATAACTACACTGAGGATATTTAACTCATTACCCCCTGTTTCTACCCCAAACCAAAACCCACAGTCATTCTAAAGATGAAATGGGGAAAAGCTCACTATTGTAGAGTAGTAAAAACTATTATTATTGGGGTTATTATGATTAAGTTGCTGATGCAGTTGTTGCCACAAGTGGACCTTTAAAGTGACCACATTTAACATGGTGGGCTGAAAAAAGGTGGGAGTAGCTCTGGTAGGAATGGATAAAATAAGCTTTGCTCTGGAGAGAAGTTCTGTGGAACCAAGTGTGTCTCCACTAACCCAGGCAGAAGACATCTGTATAGCTTGCCTAGAGGATGGCAGATTTGATCTTTTCTTCCCTCTGGAAATAATTCGTAGTGGATCTGGTCTGCTAATGCTTACTAATGTTGGAGAGAAATGGGTGAAACCACAGGGTTATGTTAATGAAATTTCCAGTGGATATTGGATTTTCCTTTCATTTTTAAAAGCATAAACTGTAGCTAAAGACCTTCCAACATGCTTATTCTTTTGAAGGAGAGAGTCTTATGTTAGACTATAGTAGCCTATTACTGCATAAAGAGAAAGCTGAGATGATGTAAATGTGAGAGGAATAAAAAATGGCTTCTGAGCTGGGAATGTAATCCTGTAATCCTAGCACTTCGGGAGGTTGAGGCTGGTGGATTGCTTAAGCTCAGGAGTCTGAGACCAGCCTGAGCAAGAGTGAGACCCTATCTCTACTAAAAAAGAGAAAACCTAGCCAGGCGTTGTGGTGGGCACCTGTAGACCCCGCTACTTGTGAAGCTGAGGCAAGAGGATCACTTGAGCCCAAGAGTTTGAGGTTGCTGTGAGCTAGGCTGATGCAATAGCACTTTATCCAGGGCGACAGAGTGAGATTCTGTCTCCAAATAAATAAATAAAGTAGGAAAACAAATGGCTACTGATTTTGAGAAAGACATAAATTTTGGGGCAGGATGAGCTCAAGGTTGGACACAT